GCCGAGAGTGAGACCGATGAAAATGCTGTGGAACACGACACCGAATTCGAGAATGAAGATAGCGAGGAGCTGACCAGCGAGACCGCCCTGATCACCCTCTTTGTGCTCGCGGCCGTGGGCGAGATGGCTGTCACCACCAGGCGCGTAGCCAGATCCGCGTCGACCACCGTTCTCAATGTCAGGGTTGCTAGGAATGCTGGGCTGCTTCTTAGCGACAAGGTCCATAGCAGGGTCGAGATCGGCATCAATTTCCATAGAGTGGTCGTGCTCCATGTCGGCGTTGCTGAGGCGAGCGGCGAGCATCTCGATGAAGAACATGATAATGACGGTCATGAGAGCGATGGCCTCGGCCCAGTCATAACCACCCAGACGGTCCTCAAGACACTCATCGCCCAGGTTCTCGACGGCGGGAACCAGCAAGTGCATAAAGGCTGTCGCTATAATGACACCGGTACCGATGAACTTGCAGATGAAGAAGGTGAGCTTAGGCACTGGGATGGCCTTCTGACGCGCCAGGAAAATGGGCAAGATAGCGCCGACAAGCGAGGATGCCATGATGATGAAGATGGCACCAATTCGGAGACCTCGACGGCCGAGATCGACGGCCTCGCCATTACACTCTGCTGCGTCCGCCATTTCGTTAGGTAGAAGATTTCGAAGGAAAGACGGTGGTAGTGTGAATGAAGTTGAGGTGAGTAGTGCAGTCTTATATGAGGTGTACAACCCAGAAAAGATACGCGGGTCGCTAGGTAGTAGGGAATAGGTGATGTCGTCAAATGCCAAGACGTAATGCTGCGTAGCCAAGGGTTATGTAGATGCGTTGTTCCCCAAAGAGGAAGCGACCAAGGATAATCGCGCTGTATGATTCGGACGAGGTCAAACGCCAAGACGCGCGCTAATCGAAAACTGCTGAAATGGTTGCTTGGCCTGCAGCAAAAATGATGCTAATGGTGAAAAACTCGATAGACCTGCGAGTTTCAATGTGGGTTTATAAGTCAACGTGAGCGTTGTTTGACTTAATCTGGCGTGAGGAGTATCAAGATGTAAGAGAAAATCGCGAGGAACCTTGATGGTGCAGACTCGATTTAAAGAAAGTGGGCGATATTGGCGTTAAACAGGCATAGCTACCGGGTTTAGCTTGATAAAGGGCCCAGCGGACGGAAGCGAGATGCCGAGAGATGCGTCGACTAGATTTCTTCGAGCCGCAAGCGTGGGATGGTTGACACTGAGAGTGGGTTTTTTGGGCCAGGACCAGGGGGTGTTGGGTTGAAGATGCAGTGGATGGATGTGTATTATTGAATTGTCATATGGTGATGGTGAGAGTTTAAAGTAAACTTATTTTTAAGAGAGAGGCTATTAAAGGCGAGCAAGCATTGCATTGATCAGCTGGCAGATGCATATAGCTATGTTGTTTCTGCCAGTGTTGTGCTAGTGGAAAAATAAGGAATCTTCTCGAGATTAGAGTGCAGCACCTGCTTACGAGTTACGACCTGATAACGCATGGGGCTTTACCTGCCCGGACCATCGTCTGAACCCTAAAATACAAACCAAACATGTTACGTTGCTGGCTGTTCAATCAATTTCCATGCCCATATCCTACTGTTCCGTTGTACTTCCATGCATACTCACGTCCCAAGGGCGTGGAACTCGGCAACTGCCACATTCCTTGGCATCACTGTTACGATCCACTGTGACCAACTGGTGTGACTTGAGGTATGATATTGCTCTGAATCATTGGAAAGCTGAATACGTAGCTACGGAAAAAAGCACAACAGAGCGTGGTGGTTAGTTCCTTCAACCGCCGCCTTGCGAGGTGGGAGTGGGTCAAATTAAGGTGAGGACCTTGATGGCCAAGTTAGCCTCATTAAGCGGGACTAGTCTCGTTTGGAAACGAAATCTCCCTTGAGTGTGGCTAGTGCGTGCCTGTAAAGAGCTCTATTCACGATGTCAACTTTCAGAGTGTATCACAAGGATGTGTACAGCAAAAAGGCTCTGGACAATTGGGTTGATTCCAGGTCTATTACATATTCCACTGGCTCAAACTTATAGATCAATTATTTATTAAGTCGCAGTAAAGGTCAGAGTCAAGCTTGAAAACAACCTTTTTTCTTCAACGAACAAGCTGTGGCGCTATCTCCACCATCTCTTTCAAATATCAATCAATCAACATCTCATTGGCTCGCCTCTCCATCTCTAGCCACAGTTGGGGATCCCCGGAGAGATCGCGGAGACCATCAGGGTTCCCAGTCAGCGCGGGTCTTATGTCTCATCCATGTTCAGGTCAAAACTGCCCACGCAATGACAAACGTCCAAAGGCCACTCGATCGGCTCGGACGGCATCTCTAGACTGTCTCGACTGTTCAGCTTTATCATATGTATCTGAGACAGGTGACGCTAATGCATCGGTGTTGGTTCTCTGCCAGGGTGTATCATCGGCGAACCAGTCCAGCGAGTCTTGCTATTATCACAGGGTGGTCATTCAGAACACCAACATCATCAAAATATGAACAGAAGATCGATCAGAAGATGAATCGTGGCAACCACCATCATCGTCGATTTCAAATATATGCCCCTACTCGAAATACAGTAGATCCCCATACCCCTCTGCCTGTAACGCCAGTGATATGCTACATTATCATACAGTTAACCTTACCAATGTTAAACTCTTAAACTCTCAAGCAGTACCCACAGGCCGCCCACTAACCGTCGCCCGTATCGCTATTTCCGCTGGCATCGTCCGTATGCATTCATATCGCCGTCGTTGGATCCAAAATGCTGCATCATGCGCGTAAGCTACCACATGGCTCTTGTCAACCATGCTTAACATGATCCCACGGCCCGACTGGCTGTAACGGGATATTACCGTGCAGCAGTGGGCCACGAGGCAGCCGTGGCTTGATCTCCGTTCATGAAGAGAATTGGATTTCCAATCCTAGCGTTCGGAAAGGCTTGTCGAGCTTCCTTAGGTCGATGCCACTACCCAAACTGAACAAGAGTGACTTAACCCGCCCCTCCCATAATACCCCTATTCGCATGTTCTGGTCCAGGCGGGTCTTGAGTACACCAGCATATCTCTCCTCTCCGGGCTTGTCAGGGTCTGTCTCTTCCTTGGGAGGAGGAGGAGGCGGCGGCGGTGGTGGTGGTGGTGGTGGCTTGATAACGACTGGCTCGGGATCGTCCAGGCGCCACTCCAACTTGGCTTGAAAGCTGCGCTCTTTCGGTTTTTTCTCTTCGACTTCGACCTCGACTTCGGGTTTAACCTCGTCATCTATGACTGGTCGAGCAAACGGCTTCCGCCATAGTTCCATGCCAATGGCCCAAGCGCTTTCATAGCTGAATACGTTGAACTCCATCCGCGTGGCGAGGCTGCAATGCCTGCCGGCCACCAAAGCATAAGTTGCGCTGATATTACCCATTAAGGGGTTGAGGGTCAATGTCGCGGACAGCGGCGTCCCCTTGTGCGCGGGTAACGTCGCGAATCGGGTCCCTAGGCTGATCCCGCCCGACTTGTTCAGCGTGCCGTAATAGATTTCTCCACCTGTACTGAAGCGTCCATAAATCCTTTCCCTGTCACTATTTCCATTGTCGACGAGGGTTTGGGCCGACGGTTGTTCGGCATCACCGCCGAAATTATATACGCCCCTGAAGCCGAGCAATCCTCCGTCCGATGATGCCAGTCCTTCGAGTGCGTACTTTCCCACGTCGTATTGCGCCAGGCCTAAGACCGTGCCACCACTTTTAAGGTGCTGGGCGGATACAGCACTTAATTGGACCTGAAGCGCGGGTGATAGCCGCTTTACGACTAGAGCCTCAAGCAGGTTTTGGGGTAGGTAGAGTCGGCCATATAGAAGAGATGATTCAGGCTTGTCCTTTGGTGCCTGGAGCCAGGGGCTAGTTCGGTGAGGCAGCTCGGTGAGGGGCTTGTATGATCGCAAAAGTTCCGGTAAGTTGACCGTCTCCGATTGAGGTGTCAGGAGAAGTCGAAGCGGGACCGACGAGAATAGGTAGGATATGGAGCCATCGACGATACCAACTGAACCGAGCTGGTAGGATGTCGCAAAGTTGGGGCTCGCAAGGGCGGAGAGAGTAAGTCGCAGCCCACGAGGGGTCTGAAAGTTTAGAAGAGCTAGAAATTCCTTGTCAGTATCCAGGCCAGAACTCGATCGAGAGCATCCGGGTTTCCTCACCATCACTTGTGACGTTCAGCGCCGCGTACGAGTTATCGCGATTCCATCCGGTAGCTTCATAGAAGGCGCTGTGGACATAGTCCATAAACTCGCGCATGTCAGGGCTCGGTTATCATGCCTCCCTTGAAGCGACGGCTCGTCACTTCGGAAGCAGGAGATTTCAATATGTTCTGAATGTTTGGATGGTATGAATGACGAAGGGCTTGTCGCGGGTTATCTTGATGGCGGGAAAATATCGGCAATCTTGCCATGCTGTTACCCTGCACCTCGAAATAGAATTAGATGGCGCAAACATCCATGAAAACATGGTACTCCTACAAGATCAATGTTTTAATATGGGTGCTGGTGAGTTTTAATATTGTTATTCCAACAATTCCACTCTTGTACAACACTTGGTCTCGAAAAGATGCTCATTCCTCACGACCAAAGTGGTCTCCAATGCACATAGCACGTATCCATCGCGGCAACAAACATTGGAGACAACAAGAAGAGCATCTAGACAACATACAATATACAACCAATGAGGTGAAAGCAAAGGAGTTGAGATATCAGGATACAAGTAAAAGAAAAACAGCTCATCATACTACATCAATCACATCGCAAGACACTCTGGCATTAAAACTCGACAGAGCACGTGAAGGGGAGCACATGTTAAGTGGAGCAGTCACAGTTAAGTGAGGCAGTCGCAAGATGGAAGGTGCCAGCTCGCTCCTGACCAAAGACGTCCACGGGTACTTCAATTGAATGTATCAACACCAAAAACAACACCACAAAATCGTGACAAAAAAGCAATTGAATGCAAAAGAAAAGGTTCTCCGGTGCGGGGAGTCGAACCCCGCTCGCCGCGGTTTTTCAATTGCTTGAAAACGCGGAATGATAACCGATACACCACACCGGATGTGATTTGATGACAACGATGTCAGGTATTGCGGTATATATTAGATAAAACTGGAGCTGACGGGAACTAGCGCCAGCCCTATGCACCCCACTGTGGGGTCCCGCGTCTGAACCACCCACTCACAGAGCTCCTTCGATACCGTCGGAAAGTTGGCAGACGGACGAGCGTTGTATTGTATGGTGTCACCCAGAGGGCCGAAAAGTGCAATTGCTACCAGTTGATGTGAGAGGTGAAAAGCTCGTCCTTTACTATTTGTATTCAGTGAGCTAAAATGTTCGGTCACATGACTGACGAACAGCCACAGTTCGTCTCTTTCATCACGAGGCAGGCACCCCTCTGTGAACAACCATGGCCATATGCTTCATGATCTGGTCGAGCCTGCTGGTATCACGTTTCCTTCCCGGCTCTATTGTACAATCTCTGCGGCAAGCCCACCAAATCTTGTCAATGTTCCCATGACTGTTCCAAAGGACTCATTAGTTGTATACTTCCTGGTGCTTCAGAAACCTGACTGTGCACCTGCTGTCTGCATTGGTTCTGGTACCTCTGCTTAGTGTAGGGTGCCATGCCACACTACTATGGAACTTAGACTAGATTGAACTGAACCAAGTAGAGATACTACTAGGTAGTAATGGAGAGTTCAGATAAGACTATCCTAATCTAATCATGAAGTAATCACAAAGTAGGTGGAGCATTACCGAACCCTTAGTATACCTTATGATGAGTTTTATCTAAGATTTGGCCTTCCACATAACCTGCTTATGTTTTTCGTGTTGCTTTTTATGAGGTTATCCGCTCTTCTCGCTACCTTAAAGGATGTCAGGCTCCTGAGCCTAGTGAGTACCTGGGGTATCGACCTTGCGCTCTGAGGACCAGCGTGTTGACCTCGGTCTCCTGGCTTTCCTCGCGGTCCACATTGGTGCGGAAGCTTGTGGTGACGGCCTCGACCTGCTTGCCCTCGCCCTTGTCGGCGGCCTTCTCAGCACGAATCCGCTTGCTGAGCCCTGAGGGTTTTGGTAGGCATAACGATGAGACTGTGCATCATTAAACGAGACAGAAGAGGGATTTTCGCTGGAGGCTCTAGGGGCCTGGTGATGATTTTGAGAGAGGCTGAATGAAGGGGAATCAGCAGCAGCAGTGTCTCCACGGACAACCTGTCGCTCAGATCTGAACCTCAAGAACCTTCCTCTGTCAGACGAAGGAGTAGGGAAGTCCGCGTGGCTATTGCCAGTCTGGGTTGAGAGGCGAGTTGGAGGCTGAACAGACACTGGTTATCGGTTAGATTGTATGTAATATGTGTATTATTCTACCTAACTCACGTTTATCCTGGGCCTCGACGGCAGTCTTCAAAACCTTGGGAGGATGTTACTCATCACTGCTCGTGGTCGTTTGCGCACGTTTGCGTAGCTCTGCCTTGAGCTCCTTATAATATATTCGGGGGCGTTGATAGCCCGGAAGGTCTGACAGCATGAGTGGCGTTATTCTGGTGTTATCAGCGTAGGGATCGCGAAGGTTTTCGGGGAACCCACGTCTTCTTCCTCTTATTCCTCTTCCTCTTCTTCGAGAGGCTGGGGCTCCTCGGGCTGGGGTTTATCAGGCTGCTTTTGTGCCCTCTGGGGTTGCTTTCGGGCGCGACGAGCAGGTCGCGTTTTTGGTGCTTGCTTGACGAGAAGTGGGCTCTCCCAGGACAACGCATTGATCCCAGGATACTGCTCCACGAGCCTTCTATTCATCTTGCCAAGCTTGTTGATGTGATAAAGCGAGCGGAATGTAATCCAAATGACGAAGTTGATATGATAATTACACAGCTTGTGGCCACTGGGTACTTTCTCGTTTGTCTGCGTAACCTTGAGATTACCATGCTTGATATGATCAATGAGTAATTCTTTCGTATCATCATCCCATTTGTCGGAATAGTCATTCCAGATCCGTTTCAAATTCTCCAGAGCCTTTGCATCTTGCTGTGATAGGCTCTCGAGGTCCAAAGTCGGGAAACTGAAACTTCTTCGTCATGATGGCGAAGATCGCGGCCTGATAATAAAGTAGAAAGAATCGTTCAGTAGTGCGAATGGGGTGGCCGCGAAGAAGGTTAATGGTGAATGAATGACAAGGAGGGAAAGATGGGCAGTTGTCAAAGCTGACCTTTGCGAGGCATATCGCACTACCTTAGTATATATAATGGTGAGGAGGGAAAATTCCGTAAAGAAAGAGGAGGAAAGGAAAGAGTTTAAAGAGGAGGGGGGGTCGTTTCTCTAAGGTAGTCCTTTTCCTTCGTTCCTCTTCTGCTCGGGTAGGCATTATTTGTTACTACCTAATGTTTGCAGAGCTGCAGCTGGCAACAACTGGCACTGGCCGACACTGCCTCAGTACGATGGACTAGAATAACAAATATTTCCCAGGGAACCATTCACCATTAGAAGAATTCAATAGAATCCTATAGAGTTCTATCTGTTTGCTACCCCGATTGTCTGGCCTGGTCGTTAGTAACGTAACCTGCATTGTTTGTCTAGGTTTTCCTCGCCTTACTTCGCCCCCCTCCCTCTATTCTCAACTATCCTATCTTCTACACCGAATTTTCAAACTGAATCACGATCCACTTCTTTATCACTCTTCCTAAGCCACCAAGATGTCCGAAAGTGGCCAAGTCACCGCAAACGTGGAGGAAGTGCCTCCTACCGAGGAGACCACCGTCAACCCGACGTTGTATGGTGATCAACGACCCTTCTATACTCCCTTTGAAGGATGTGGTCGTCATTAACAACCTCGAGTTTGTAGCTTGTTTTTGCTCCGTCTCTCTCAAACATACCAGTCTGTTAACAGAGTTTAAGCTCTCTAAGCAGGTTTCCAAAATGACTGAGACGCTCGCTGATGCTAAAATCGGTCCTCGGTCTCCTCGGACGCCAGTGGCAACAGCCGACGCTCCTCGCGAGCCGATGAGGTCGAGGACGCAGATGACGAAGCTGTCCAGTCCTTCGTCATCGGCGATACTTTTACGCCGTCTTCAAGACCTTCATCGCCGCAACAACTTCGTCCCGTGCGTAAAGCGTACCAAAAACACTCTCGACTGTGCCAACAGGTTCCGCTAGTCTGCCCTTGGCCATTTCAAGTATCTCTGGGATCCTGAGGCTTTCAGTAAGTTATTGCTATCCCATCAATAGAGTTTCTTGTTGCAAGTAATGCTCGCCGAAGACGAGACGTGTGCAAGTATCCAGTCCCTCGAACAAGATCAACTTATTAAACTGTATATCGGTCTCTCAAGCCTCGACCAACCTCATGATTGCGACAAGATTCAGGAGCCTCAATGAGAGGCTTTCTACACACGAACCGGAAGTTATCATCAAACCTCGATGACTAATACTTATTTACCTAAAGTCTAGGGTAAGAATTATCCTAATCTAATCATAAAGTAGGTGGGACTTTGCTGTGCCTTAGTATACTGTATGATGAGTTTAGCTCGAAGTATGGCACTTGAGATATCTGGGGCACTTTAAGGAGTGCTTGCTGGACTTTCGGACTCGCAGATTGTCGGTGACCATAATTTGCACACTATCAGTATAACTCTGATAATTCACAAGTAGCTTTGACTCTCCTTTGATGATATACGACGCAAGACTCGAAGAGCACCGGCAAAGGATTGCATGGCGATGAGAGATATGAATGACTTTGAGCGCACGAAGCAACGCCCAGGATTGAAGCCAAAATCCGAGCTTCAAATCCTACCTGGTGTACTTCAGTTACTTCTTGCCTGCTTGCGACCATGATTTCGTCAACGAGATGCGGGATAGTTATGTCTCTTCGTTTTTGGCAAGCAGTTTTTGACGACAAAAACAATGTTACAAGAGCTTCTAGGTCAAACGACGCTTTGAAGAAATCAGGTAGACCTGGCTTGTAATACCGACGATTGCTTCGTTGGTCATCCGTGGTTCACAGCCAACGTACTGTACATGTACACCATCACTTCAGAGAGGACTACAAACACAGCAAGTCGGACAAGACTTAACGAGACTGTTGGCTCACAGATGACGGAGTGTGACAGTTGGACGAGTATTGAGAAACGCCGCCACGCCAAACGAGATGTCATCTGGGATATGAACAGGATTGCATTTGGTCTTAGAGAGTTGCTCATAACGACGACGATTGCATAACAACGAAAGAGATTTAATAGACAAAACTGGCGACTTGAGTTCAACATTGACGTTGGAGTCCCCTATTTCAGCAACATCAAAGAAGGTCGAACACCCGAGACAAGACGCCATCCCGTCTGAGTGGTCAAAGCACCAACGGTCGCGCACAGAGGAAGCAAACGACCCAACAGCCCTTCCTGAGGCGCCATGTATGTAATCTCCAAAGACCAAGAACTGTAACGAGTACTTGGGGCGATGCATATGCCTAGCGATATCCCCCTTTGCATAGAACATCCTGCAGTAGTTGTTGATAGAGAGCCTAAGATTACAAGATGCTGATCAGTGGACGAGTGTTGGTTGTCTGATGACTTGAACCAAGGAACTCTGCAAACTATGTTTAGACGAGTTAGTTCAAGCAGGGCTGTCAAGAGTCTTGAGTTGAGTGGTTCAGGAGAGCCCTCGTTGTCACGGCTTACGAGAACTTTTGAAGGGGAGAGCTCGCCCCGACTCAGTGCATACAGGATAAATGATGAATTGTCAGGCGAATTTGCAGCAACTGCATTGAATAGAGCGACCATGTAACCCATTCTCAGGCGTTAGCTACTGATGCTCTTGCAGATGCTGATCTAGCGTTGAGGGATCCATTCTTGGCAGGCGATTGAGCGAATGAAGACTTGTGCGGATGTGGTACCGCCATTAACCTGCGGGAGCTAAAGCTCAATAGCTCTGGAACCCTCGAGACTCTTGTTGGTGGCGGCCGCGTGCGCTGAAGAAAATCCTACGTCGGGGAATCGACTTCTGTCTCAGCTCGGTGTATTCTTATTATTTGTCAAATCTGGGGTTCGGTGTCATATTACCCGAATTTCTCTACTCCTG